TTGTGTGTTGTGTGTTTGTGTGTTGTGTGTTTGTGTGTTTGTGTGTTTGTGTGTTGTGTGGTTGTGTGTTGTGTGTTTGTGTGTTGTGTGTTTGTGTGTTGTGTGTTTGTGTGTTTGTGTGTTGTGTTTGTGTGTTTGTATGTTGTGTTTGTGTGTTGTGTGTTGTGTTTGTGTGTCGTGTTTGTGTGTTAATTGGTCTTCCAGCTGTTCGTTATATGCTCACTTTCCTTTTTCCAGCCACTTATTGCTACTTGTCCCAACTTTTTTGGGATTTGTTGACACTGTGAAATTTTGAATCAACATATTTTTCCTTTAAAATGTTACATTTACTCAGAATAAACTTTTGATCTGTCATCTATGTTATATTACGAATAAAATATTGACATTTGCCATCTCCACATCATTCAGTTTTTATTCACTATTTGTTTAGTGTCCCAACTCTTTTGGAATCCGGTTTGTATAATCTGGTATATAACCTGGTATATAATCTGTATAACGAAAGGTTGAATGAATGAATGAATGGTAAACCAATCTCCTGCAGAAAGCCTTCCTGACTAAGATAAGTCAGGAAACCCAGATGTTCCAGGAAGGAACCCACATCGTTCCTCCTGGATCTGAGGTTCCACCAACGATGGAAGTCACTTCTCCAGTACGCCTGAAAATACCTTACCAAGGAGGATAAGGAGAGTGATGGCCCTATAATTGGAGCACACCCTCTGGTCTCCTTTTTTGAAGAGGGGACCCTAACCTAACCTGGGGTGTCCACCACCAAGTTCGTAGATAGCCACCCTGAGGAGCACTGACAACCTTGTAGCCATCTCAACAATAGAGGAGCTGAACGTGGCCCACTCGGACTCAATGTCCCCCGCCTCCGCTGGGATGTGGTTAAATCTCTCCTCAGTGTCAGGATCTGGTGGAGGTTTGAACCCAAAAGTGCAGGAGGACTCGGACAACTCAGGTTAAAATCAAAGAAAAAGTATTTAATGAAAAAATAAAGAAAAGGGCTGACGTGGCAGAAAAAGACTTGCATGAATAACAAGAGGTCATGAGGGGAGACAAAAACCAGGATGTGGCGAGGGCATTGTGTGTTGTCAGTAATATTCTTGTTTTACTGGTGTTAAAACATAACAACATGTAAAAAGACAACATATTGGATATTAAATCATACTAACTGCATTTACATTTAAAGCATTTACTTCATTTTCAATTTGTTGCCAGCAATGTTTTGTAAAATTTGTGACGGGGTGACAAATGGTTTATTTTAGAGTAAAGTCACAACATCTGATTAATTGAGTTAAGTTACAAATGTGTGTTTTTATCATTACAGATATTTGAAAAAACTGTTTGTGCATAAAGAAAAGGGTTCACACCCACAATGTAGCCTGAAGAAATATAGATAATGTGTTTTATTTATTTTAAAGAAAGTTGATCTGTTCTCATCCATTCATTATGAGAACAAGGCAGAGCCTGACGGTAAAATCCACATATGTTAAAGCCTCATTCATTCAAAACGATAGACGTATGTACAGGGCGTCTGATGCTCTTTACACAGGCTGGCTTTTTAATTAAATGTCTTCTTTACAATAAAACTTATAATGTAATTTTTTAAAGTTAACGATAAACCTCAATGTGAACCACGTGTGTGTGAAATCGTATCGTAGCTCCAGAGCTGAAGAGTCTGATTACACAAATGACCCTTCTCTAGTCCGGATTTGTTCCCCTCTGAAAACATTGGATTCATTTAGAGTGCTGACGAGCAGATGAATTTTTTATCTTGAAAGAATGATCAAACATTTCTCTTTTAGAATTAATGTAATTGGTCCTGACAAAATGATTCTAAAAATACAAAGATGCAAGGAGTGAAAGTGTCATTTGCAAATGTTATCATTTCCTCTTTGCACTTTTGGTAAATAATGACGTAGGTGGTGTACATGATCTCAATAAAGAAATTCTGACTCTGAGGTTTGAATGCAAATTGTTCATTTGTGTGTTTTCTAAGTGTTTATTGAATTCTGCAGGGTGATGATATGTTTTTGTGTAAACCATGAAAAACAGCCTTATTGTACGTGGCATAGGTAAATATATTTTGGCCGATTGTTGTTCAGCAGTGCCACATGAACAAATTGTGTGTGTCTGTTTAAGCAGAACTCCTGGGAACAAACTAGGCAGCAGCCCCAGAGGTCAGACCCCAGATGAAACCGGACGTCGCCAGGGGCAGAGCCATGAAGCCAACTCTTCTGTTTCTGACTTGGCCAACTCCGTCACCACCAGTGACATGCTCATGGTAACATTCAATATCATCTCATGAGGCACATCTCATTCATGCACAATGAACGCATGTCAGTCATGGGAATGTGTCTCAGGTTGAGCAGCATGTGTGGTTTGTTTCACCCTAAACATTCATAAAAACACCACAATACTAAGTATATGCAGAAAAATGCACATGGACATGTCATGTTGTTTCATCTAAATACAAACATAAATGTATCCAAAAAAGTTCAATCTGGTCCTCTGGACATTCAAAATAAACAAAAAACAAAGCAAAAAAATATAGAACGTTTCGTCTCTCATCCAAGAGACTTCCTCAGTCTGAGGTGCTGTTTTTTGTTTTTCTGATTATTGAGCATGCATCAGGATAAAAATGTATCTTTTGAATGGACAATATATTTTGTATATTATATTCATTCATTACACACAGACTGACATATTTAAAATGTTTATTTATTTTAATGTTGATGATTATAGCTGACAATTAAAAAAAAAACAAATTCAGTATCTCAGAAAATTAGAATATTGTGAAAAGGTTCAGTATTGAAGACACCTGGTGCCACAGTCTAATCAGCTAATTAACTCAGAACACCTGCAAAGGCCTTTAAATGGTCTCAGTCTAGTTCTGTAGCTACACAATCATGGGGAAGACTGCTGACTGGACAGTTGTCCAAAATATGTCCATTGACACCTGCACAAGGAGGACAAGACACAAAAGGTCATTGCTAAAGAGGCTGGCTGTTCATAGAGCTCTGTGTCCAAGCACATTAATAGAGAGGCGAAGGGAAGGAAACGATGTAGAAAAAAATGTGGATTTACTGAAATAAATAAACTTTTTCATGATATTTTAATTTTATGACTAGCACCTGTAATGAATATACCAGTGGAGTTTGTTTATAGGGATGCACGATACACTTTTTTTTTTTTTTTTTACTTCCGATCAGATCCCGATACCTAAATATGGATCTCGGCCGATACTGATACTATTCCGATATCGTCATCATTATATATTTTATATGAGGCTGTAATAATCTCCTCTCAAGTACAAGTTGTATAAATATATGAATGCATGTCCAAAAAGGCAACTTGAGGTAGGTTTTATTAATGTTGGCTAAGAAAAACAGCAATAAGATCTAAGATATGAACTGAGAAAAACATAAACTAAAAATACACTAAGTATTAATAGCATAAAAACAATACCCCGAAGTGGATATTAAAGTGGATAATTAAGTGATTAAATGGCTTCGAACATCTGCTAAGTTCATGGCAAAAACCAACACAGACATGTTCCTGTTTTTAGTATTTTACATTACTTTATAATGTAGCTGTTTATGTTTCTTTTTTTAATATAATTTTATTTTATTTTTCAATTCATATGCTGTTATTATTGCCTACTGTTGTACTGATAAATAGCTCCTGGACTGTAAACGTAAACTGTATCTTGGCTGCAAATATTCAGTCAAGTTGTGAAGCAGACAGTCTGATTTCAGTCAGCTGCGCTCGGTCTGCTCCTCCTTTAAGACTCAGACTGAGCGAGGCTGACCGAAACCAGACTGCCTGCTTCGGACTGAACGAGAGGAACACACCGCTGAAGCCACAGAGCTCGAACGTCCAACGTAAAACTAACTTTACCGCGGTGCCTGGCTAAACAATCTTTAATGTGGTGCTTTTTCAAATGTTTATTAAGTTTGTATTGTAGGTCGCGACCGAGCTTCCTCCTCTCAGTGCAGATGCTCTGCAGACAGTGCACGTTGCTGTCTTGTGGTGTTTAGTGTAAAATACTTCCACACAGCGGACGTGTTACGATGTAAAGTTGGTTAGCCGCTCGCAACAGTTCTGCTCAGTGCTCAGTATTTACTCACGTTGTAGCTGCTGCAAACTATGAAATGGATTTCCTGAATGTGAGGCGGGTCTTATTACTCTGGATTTCATGAGACACGCCTCCGTTCAGGTAATTCATTCCATAGTTTGAGCCAACTTGCAGAGTGGCCTGCAGGGAATCACATGTGGAGATGTTTCATCAGACACAGACATGCATCATGGATCGGAAAAATCTGATACGTAAATTATGCTGGTATCGGAGGCCGATACCGGATCGGCCCCATCCCTATTTGTTTATCAGCCAGCTCGGCTGAGCTCTGTCACCAGTCCAGGACCTTGGGGAAGGGAGGGGGTGTGGAGGGGGTGTATGAAGAAGATTCATTATTTACATTTCCAAATTGGAATCTATCAGATAAATATGATTTAAACTAATTTAGAGCTGTTCCTGTAATTCCAACATCATATTCAAGTCTCTGTAATAGATGATGATCAAATGCAGCACTGAGGTCTAACAGGACCAGTGGAGACACCTGTCCATTGTCAGAGAACATGAGAATATCATTAGTAACTTCCACCAGTGCAGATTCAGTGCATGTGGTGAGCTCTAAACCCTGACTGAAACTCTTCAAACTGATTATTTCTTTGCAGGTGTTCATGTAACTGACATGCAACTATTTTCTCTAAAATGTTTGAGATGAAAGTTAGATTAGATATAGGTCTATAGTTGATGAAATTTAGATTAGATATAGGTCTATAGTTGATGAAAGTTAGAATAGATATAGGTCTATAGTTGATGAAAGTTAGATTAGATATAGGTCTATATTTGATGAAAGTTAGATTAGATATAGGTCTATATTTGATGAAAGTTAGATTAGATATAGGTCTATAGTTGATGAAAGTTAGATTAGATATAGGTCTATAGTTGATGAAAGTTAGATTAGATATAGGTCTATATTTGATGAAAGTTAGATTAGATATAGGTCTATATTTGATGAAAGTTAGATTGGATATAGGTCTATAGTTGATGAAAGTTAG